AGCAGGAATAGTAGAAGAGCACGTGGCAGGGGTCTGCATAACCAGAGCAGTTGTTTGATAGGAGCATATGATACTCCATGAAAATTTTTGTACGTTTTCAGAGATCAGTTGATCCAAGACATTTAGGTAAAACTGCTGACCATTTCATTGTGATACTACCTAACTAACATAGCATTTTTTTTTCAATAAGCACAATCACACCTACAAAGTACTTTTCTTATGATTTAGTTATATTTAAGAATCCTCTCGCCACAGCTGCCACTTCTGTCAGATAACTATTTTTTATAGCTTTGGTCCAATAAAACACTGTAAGTATGAGTAGCAGCTTTGCACAACTGTTTTCCCTATAAACTCCTAAAATGGGATCTAACCTGTGTAACTTAGGAGCCTAACTGTTGCCTAACCTTTAGGGGAATAATCAGGCAACTTTCTTGGGTTGCTTACATAGTAAAAAGAGAAAGATAAAACTACTAAATAATCCTCAGTGAAGGTCCTTTCTAAGTTTAGAAAAGCTTAAGCAATGAATTAGGAAGACAGCATCTCCCTCTGCAGGACTTCAGAGACACCTCTCTCTCTCTGGTTTCATACAGGAAAAAGGCACTTATTTTACAACAGCTTTTTAGACACTTAAAAATAAATACAAGCTAGATACCCAACTTCAGTAATTTCAGATTAGATTTTACCTCAGTAATTTCAGTGATTAGAATCAAACCTCTACTGAACAGTCTATAAATCAGACCACTTGTGCTTGAGTAGTGTGCTGCATTAGTGACTTACAAGAGGAAGCATGAGCTGATGATCAGAACATATAAGTGAGAGTCATGTTACATAGGGCCTATTTCTAGCTCTGGCATTAGTCTGTTGTATGCCTTACACAAATCCCAGTATACATGTGTTATTTTCATTTTATGCAAAGAGAAAATATGATTGTCAACCTTTGGAAAAATACTGAATTATACAGACTACTGTTATTGTCACACACTTTGGTCAAATTTTGAGGCAGCAGTACAATTGGAAATGGCAGATTATTCCTGCTCCTGGGCTCCACAGTGAAAGATAGTGTTATAAATGCAAAATGCAATACTTAAGCTTTAGGAGGTTAAATTGGTAATAATTAACCTTACTTCTCTTTTTGATATGTACAAAAGAAAGATCAAAGACCTCTTACAGCCCTTTAGGATTTGCTTTTATTTAAAACCCAGAGAACTAAAAGGTTCTTTTTGCGAATGATACTGTTCGTAAAGAAAAGTACCTTTAAAAATGAACAGAACATGGTTATTTCAGTTCTGTAAGATCATCTGTAAAATTTGTTTTACTTGTAAAATTTATTTCAACTTAAGCACTTCCAGTTTTACCATGAAAGCAACAAATGGATTGTTATCAAGTAATCTTCCAGTGAATAAGGGGATGTTGTATGTCAGAACAGTGCAAATTAATGTTAAAATAGAAGTAAGCAGCTTGAATAATGTTATTCATAATAGTTGGAAGTGGAAATTAGAGATAGACATTTATTGATTGTTTACACATTTTTCCAGTAGTATATTCCTGAAAGTTGATTCATTTCCTGCACGATACTGCTTTGTACCTGCAACACATCTCCATCTCAATTACCAGAACATCCCCTAAAGGCCTGCCTGGATAGAGAATCCAAAACACTATTTAGACCATGTCCAACTAACAACAAAATTACACGATATAGCATCCCTTATAAGGATCTCAAAGTTTTTTTGGAGATGTTAATTACCATCACCGTGATACATAGTGCTGGTTATTAGGCCTGGTGCTAGCCACCATACATCATCCAGCCAGTAGAAGGCTCCCTAATCTACCAAGTGCAGCAAAAGCACGTGAGGAGCCTCTGAAATAAGAATGGATCAGGCCAAGGAAGCGCTCAGGGCAGTGGGGGAACACAGCCTTGCGGGAAGCTGCAGGAGAGGGCCCAGCAGTCCACAGACTGTGACAGGAGGAGTTGGGCAAACCTGCCTTTTGTTGGCAGGGGGCCAACAACATGAGGGAGGCCGTTTCAGGCTGCCCACAGGGCACACAAGGAGGAATCTCAGCAAGACACTCACTTTATCACTCTTGCTCTGGACTACCCAATACACATTACATGCTTGTTTGTTTACTTTTGTTTTTAATGCTGAAGGCAGCTGTGACTAGCACATTTGCTCTTCTTACTTTTGCCTTTTAATGAATTCTCAGTTACTCAGTGTGGAAATATTTGCAGGAATCTACCAATAGACATGCTTGTATCACTTTCATCTGCACATGTGGTACACCCAAAGAATGGCGGATACATTTATGAGAACTTCTATGACACCTTCAGTATGGCTGATTATCCTAAAAGCCATCCTGCTTGATATTTATATATTTTACTAACAGCTGAAGTACATAGGGCTAAATTAGTCTCTACGCTACAAGCTAACCTTGCCTCAGATCAGGGAAAATGAAATTCAGTTGCACATTACTTCTGCGTTTCTCTGTACTGTAATAGCGCAAGCCATAGCGCTCTTGAGAATTCTCCTGCTTTCCGTAGATCTCTTCAACCATTCTTGGGACTATAAACTGCAGTGACACAGCAAATGTCTGGCAATATCCTTTTATTCCTCCCAAAGCCTCCTTCTGCTGACAGGATAACGTGACCACTTTGAATCCATCTCAGCTTGGAAATGCCCTTATATTAGAAGGCTTCTGAGGGTTACTTACGGCAGCTTTATGGCTCATTTACATAAAGGAATTATGAGCCACAGATGAATCAGGCTCAAATAAAATGATTTGCAAAAGGCCACACAACAAATAGCAGGGAGGACATGAATTAAGGACTAAGAGCATGCTCTATTGTGCTTGTTTTTGCCAATGCAAAAAGCCAGCTCCAATGTACAAAATACACCCTTTTCTCTGCTCCAGACCTCAATAAAGAGGCAAGCAAAAGTAGCTTTCTGTCATTTTTTACAGCCGCCCAGCAAAATGACCTGCACGTCTGACTTCCAGAACTTTATGGAAAATTGTAACTTCCTGTTGCAGATAAAATTATAAGGCACCTTTTTGTACAAAGAAAACCTTATAGCTACATTATTCTCCCTTCTTGGGAGGTAACTTTAACAGAATGGCACTCTGAAGTGAGCCTTGGGTTTGTTACAATGGACTAACCTGATTAGAAATCATGCAAACTCTTGTTGCTCTGTAGCTGTATTCCCCCACAGGCTGTATTATAGCTCTCTAACCAGTCCCACAGCATTGAATGATGTCATGGGATCTGCAGCTCAGTGAGATGAAAGGGATAAAGCGGAACCCGCTGGCACTGGGGAACGCTTCCAACACACAATCCACAACACAGCTTGGGAACTCAAAAGCTACAGATCCAGCCACTCAACTCTAAGCATTTAAGAATCATGTGCATTCTCCCAGCACAAGAAAGGAAAGGGAAAAAAAAGCTAGTGATCGATTTTTAACAAAAGAAATAGAGCAATGAAAGGCAGAATTTAAGACTGCAACTACCTGCTGGAAAAGGAGTTCTTTTTCCTCTCCAAAGCACTGCCTTTGATGTATGGCAACTGATCACTGATCAGATTACAGGCATTTGGTCTCAGTGCTCGTCTGCCTTTGATCTGCATGGTTAATTTTATTTTCCCGGATTTGGAGTCTCGTCTGGGCTTGTGCTGACATACTTCTTTTTTTTTTTTTTTTTTTTTTAAGGAGCTGAAAGCATTTAATACAGAAGCTCTGGCAGTGTGAAATTCAGTTGCAGAAAGCCTGGGCACTGGAAAACTTCATCAGATAACAGGTACTGGATTTTGTATTTTTTGCAGTTTTGTGTTGCAAGATTTTAAGAAATTACAAAGCTTCTCATAAACAGTAAAAGTACACACCATTGTGTACACAGTTTGAAAGACTGTAGAAGAATGTTAACTATATAGCATTTTAATTTGCAACTGTTATGCAGAACTACATTGAGAATAGGCTATATAGAATATATAGATAACTGAAAACTGAAGCAGTTTTTTGGGGGTATATAATATTTTGGTGTGCAATGCCCATTCCAACTGTCTATGGTTTTGTAAAGTCATATTTTAATACAAGTATCACAGGACTTAGAGGAACATCTATTTTCTAAGGAAAGATCAGTCATGTCTCCTACATAGTATATATACTTTATTTGCTTTCAGTGCATTTCTTAAACCTTGCCTTCTTCAAGCAACACTTTTAACCTTAATAACTGCATATTTGAGATAATGAGTCTTCTCTGGCACAAGTTATTTGAACTACGTTTATAAATATAACATGCTTGTATACAAAAGAGAAAAGTTTTTACTTCCACATTTAAGAAGATTATAATAGTTTAACTCTCAAATGTGAAAAGAAACCTTGATAATAAAAGCAACATTTTAATCTGATGATAGACGTTTCCTTTAAGGCATTTTAATAAAGATATTATAGAAACCTTAAGTTAATGTCCAGCAAACACCTGGTTTTATTGAACTCTGTGGTAGTTCTGCTCCTATTTCAGTGAAACAATTTCTGTTCCCAGTATTTTATATTCCTTTCCTCAAATCCATGTTTATTAACCTATACTGTGTTTAAGAAAATGACAGACATCTACTGTGGAAATTCATTATAAAGGAAGAGTCTTTGGAGAACTGAGATTATTCACTATACATTTGCAGTCTTATTTTAAGAGGGCCAGATTTTAGGATGAGTTTGGGCCAAGCCTGTGAGTGTTCTGTGCCTGTAGCTGGAGCCAGACTCTTAAAAGACTGAAGCCTCCTCTATAGATATTTAAATATAATTTAGATATCCAGAAGAGCTTAAAACCCATGATTGGGGCCAGATTTGCAAAGAAGTTCAACGTTTCAGACACTGATCTCTTTGAAAATCAAGTCTTAATGGTGGATGATGACTTCTTTAGAAATACCAACTTAAATTCAGATTTAAGAATGGATATTTAAAGTGCATGCAAATTTTAGGTACATCTGTTTATTAATAAATTGCAACTGAAAGTCAGCTTAACTGATCGCTGTTAAGGATTGTTAAAAAAAAAAAACTATTCTCTAGAAAGTTTATCAGCCCACAGAACTCCCCAAGCGTTCCTACTTTAGTATACTGTATTGTAACATGCAAAATCAAATTTTAATAGTCTGCTTACATATGAATAAGATTAAGCTATCAGCACTTCCAGATAAATGCAGTCAATTTTCATTAGTCAGCCTGGAAACTTTGTTTAATTCTAATTAAAAATATATTTGTATATATACATTTAAAATTTACTGAATATCAAGAGAGAATATGCCAGAACCAGATTAACTAGGCCTGACTTAGTATCATTTACTTTTCTATACCACCAATTAATTCATATTCTGACTTAACAAGTCAATTACATTACAAGGAAAGTAATTAGCATTGCATGAATAATGTGTGCATAGCTAGCTGTCAAGGAAGAATATTGTTGAAGGCATAGCCAAAGCAAAATTTAGTATTTTTCCTTAAATGACAGTGATGTAATAAAGCAGGTTTCTGTAACCTGGAAAAGTTTATTTTATTTTTAAGTCTACTAATCAAACCTATGCTTCACCAGTCAGCTTCTCCACCCTTCTAATCCTCTTCCGCTTGTTGCTAGTTTTCTAACACGCACACTTCTTTTCTGAGGAAAACCGTTTCTAAACCCTACCTTTATTTGCTGTGAAGTAGAAAGAGAAGCAAATTTGAGAAGTAAAGCAAGGATTCTTTTAGTTTTCATCAGGAGTCAAGATAGCTACGTTGTGCTTTGTGAGTCAAAAACAGTTAAACTATCATAGCAGGGATCTGACCCTACAATCACACAAATGAGCAAAGCTGCTCACAGAAGTAACACTGGTAGATGAGATAGATTAGTGATCAGTAGGACCTCCATATGTAAATATTTGCAATATTCAGGTCCTAAAACCACATTTAGGAAATAGAGATCTTTTATTATGCAAAAAATTCCCAAGATTTTATGTAATTTTCTCACATATTTAAACACAGATGGATATTAACCCATTTCAACTGAAAAAAATCTTTGCATGTCGATATGAAAGTGAGATTAAAAAGAGATCATCGTTGGGCATATTTAAGTACTGAGGGGGTCAGATTTTCAGCATTTTTGTTATTTTAAAAAGCAGTGCTGTGACAGCTTAGCCTTTCATTGATTTGACTTTTAAAGATTAAATAATAATAATTCTTGGCACTTACGACTTCGCTTTTGCAAAGTACTGTATAAACATTAATTAATCCTCAGGCTTAAGTCTTCAGAAAGAAAAAGTTCACAATGCTTTTTCAAGCAAATCTGACTAGGAAACTCACAACTATAAATATTATCTATTTATTAAAATAGCTTTAGCAATTCTTGGCTATAAATAGAGCCATTTCCAAACAAAATCTCTTAGATAATATCATAAACATATTTTAAGGTTTGTAATAGTTAAAACTATCAAAAGACATTGTACAGTTATACTGACATCAGTCTCCAACAGCTGTCATAACAAGAGTAGATCTATCTCAGAGCTGACTGGGGGAACTGTGTTAGCATTTGAGATATGGAGATAACAACTTCCTATTGCTGTACAATTTCTGCTTCCACATCAGATATGTCACGCAACTTAGTCTTATCAAAGGGGTCAGCTGAAACTACATTCTAAATTATTTTTCTGCTTTTCCTACCGTAGTGGGAATTTCTCTACTTTCGTCTGCATTAGTTGTTCTAACAGTTTACTGCCTTCCATTTCCTTAGAAGAAATATGATTTAAAACAAAAGATTCCCTGCAATTTTCTACCTCTTTTAATGATGAATGGAATTAACTCATCCACTTTACGTTTAGTGGAAAAATCTTACATGCTACAACAAGGACTTAAGCAAGTTCCAATGTTACAGACTACATGCTGCTCTTAATTCATAGGCATGATAAACCCCTGTGACTGATGAGAAAGTCTTAGTGTTTCTTTATATGGTAATCCTCAGTGTTTAGTCAATACTTTAAAGAACTCTGGGATGTTTTAATATACTTGTCTAGCTATAGTACTTAACAACGAGTATCTGCAACAGACAGGGTGACTTCACTAAGAAAAATTGATATAGTATATTTTACAGGTGTCCGTACAAAACAGATAACTACAAAACAGTTGTCTGTAAATAGCAAGAGGATGTAGGATTCTCAGTGCTGTGCAACAGCTGCCATTCACAACAGATGCACCGCCTTTGTACTAGTGTGTGTCATTCCTCACAGAAATTCCAGGCTCCTACAGAGTTCCTTCTGGCAAGAGTACTGAAGAAAGTCCTTCTTTGCAGGCTCTTAGAAAACAAAAACAAAAAACCTCAGAAAATTCTGAATTAGGTTGTTTTTTTTTTTTAATTTAAAACAACTCATTTTGCTGCAACTATTTACCTCCTCAAAGATAATTAGCTGTATTTCAATAAGCGTTACTTATGAAGTGCATAGGGCAGGCAAACTCCAAAATTTTATCTCTGTGAGAAACTACCCAAAATTCTATTTATTTGAAAATGCTTTACTGTCAAGTACAGCCATTAGTTCACCCACTTCAGAACCTGAATCAATTCCTAGGGTATTCATGCAATTGCTTACAGTGTAGTGATATCATGGACTTTTTCATTAGAAACAAAACTACTAACCTAAAATCCCTGCAAAAGTAGTTTTTTGATCAAGTTCTCCAAGACTGGTTTCACCAACCCACTTTCTAGCTACTGTGAATAATTAATTCTTTATGAAGGACGGGATTTCTGAACTAGCACTTGGTATCGACAATATGCTTACAGCCAGGGTACCTTGTTACCTACGCAACTCAAAAACACTATTTCAGACCTTGAGCTGGCAGGAAAAACCCTGCTCAACAGTACCTGGGAAAGGAGACAGCTTCTCAGTACGCCTTCAGAAGACTCTTCCATCGTTGTCTGCAGGTAGGATAGGCGGAAAGGACTTTGCACCGGGTGGTGAGGTACAGGTCACCTCCTTCTCCTGCCTTCTGAAGGAAGAGCAGCAAGGAGTTTTGTCCGAGGCATTCAGCAGCGGCCCAACGCTTCAGCGATGCACAGCCAAAAGCCAGGGCTCCCACTGAGACAGATCAGTCACAACACGGCCGCAGTCCCCAACGCGCAGGCTACCACTGGGGACAGGATGGCAGCCGTAGATGTGCACAACAGATCTGCTCCATCCTCCTGGTGGGATAAAAGGGACCTGAGAAGTGCTTTAAATCAGTCCTTCCTTCCTTTCTTTCTCTTTTTCCCCCCCCTTCTGGCACCCCATCTGCAATTCACCCCAGCTTAGCAACACTCAGCCCAACGCACACACCGCCACAGACTGCCAGCCTGGCAGACAGGAGACCTAAGCTGGACACAGGCAGCTCCCCGCAGGAGAAGAGCCCGCCCGCGCCCCTCAGCACCCCGGCGGCGGCGGCGGCGGTTAACGGCCCCTCCCCGCGGCGGGAACGGCG